TTTGGTCCCCGTTTTCGCTGATGTGTGATGTACCACCTGATGTAGGATCCCCCATTTATTTATCGGCCTTCTTGATGGACATTGAGGTGGTTCCCAGAGTCTTGCTATTTGAATAGTAGATATTCTCATAAGGCTGTCCTTTGTGCATATGTGAGTTTTCTTCTTAGATACTCCCATAGGAGTGGAATTGCTGGGTCATAGAGTATGTACGCTCAATGTTTTAAAGTTATTTAATTTTCTTATGAAAGCAGTTTTGCTCCAGACATGATGGAAACACATTCTTGTAGGAAAAAGAGTAACACTGGCTAACATTTCCTGAGGACTTCTTACTGTGCTTTGCATCGTCTCAGTCATTCTTCTCAACAACCAAGGAGGTAGAAACTGCCATTCTCATCTTATTGACGAGGACACTGAGGCTCATAGAGGCTAAAGAACCTTCCCAAGTGTCTCTAACAAGTGGTTGCTGAGCTGCAGTTTGGGACCAGGGTTATCCGCTTTCAAGATTCTTAAGGTCACCTTGCCCGAGGCATGTCACATCAGTCCAAGCCACATCATACTCACTTTATTCACAGCTAAGGGGGGTTTCTCTGGAAGGAGAGTCACAGTCCTATGTGCAATTTAGAGAGGTCACTTTGGGATAGGTCCCCATGGACAGATCCCCTCCCCACACCCCAGACAGAGCTCTTCCTGAATGGTGAAGCAGGGGGGAAAAGCCAGCTCTGGCTCTAGTCTGCTCCCTGAGTGACCTCTTTGCACTGCTTCCTTGACTGCCCCAGTGGGAAGGGAGAGGTCCCCCTGCTTTATCCAGCTCTCTGCATCAGATGTCTTCCAGAAAGACTGAAGCGGGGAAGGGGAGAGTGGAATGACTCCAGGCTGCCTGACACCCCCTCACCCCCTCCAGCTCCCTTCTCACTCCAGCTTCAAGCCTCCCTCCCCTACGATGCCAAAGCTCCTGGCATTGGTCACCAGCCCTGCCCCACGCTCCATCCAGCTCAGCCGCACCTCTGGGCCTCGGGTTCTTCAAGGAACAGTGGAAAGGCCACCATCAACCCCTCAGGAGCTCAATAATGTATTAACCTGGGCTGTCAAGGTGGCTTGGAGCAGAAGGGCCTTGAAGGCACGGGACAGCTTGCAGGGAAGTGGAGACTGCAGTCACAGCCAGGGGAGGGAAAAGGTTTGGCAAACTGGCTTTTTTGTGGAAACTTTTCTGCCTTCTCCCTAGGTTCCTCTTTGTATTATCTTTATCTCCTTATCTGTTAGTTGCAGATAAGCATTGCCTGCCTCTGGGCTGGTGAGAGGATTGAATGAAGTGATCGGTTTAGAACTTGAAGTGATAGTCTCATGTGATGAAGGGGTGGTTATTCATGCCTTCATTAAGTCAAATGGGCCCAATGTCCCCAGCCAGCCAGGACACCCGCACCTCACCCCTGCACTTAGCAGGCCGTCCAGAGCCTATCTTGCCACCTTCCCCTACGGCTTGTGCCTCTTTGTCACTATGGTATCATGACTCTAGCTCGCTCAGCCTTTTTCCTCTTCTTGGACTTCTTTCTCCATCTTGTCCTCAGTTCAGTGCCATCTTTTCCAGAAAGCTTTCCAGAAAGTGCCCCATCTCCATTTCTGGGCCTCCTTAGCCTTCATTGATCCTCATGATTGCAGCCCTGATGGTTCTGGTTGTCATTGCCTCTGCCTGCATCTGTCACTTCTGTAGACTGTGAACTCTTCAAGGACAAGGCCAGGTTTGGGTGAGAACCAGAGATTAGTGGGTGTTTGTAGGAGGAAATGATGGAGGAAATCAGCCCCAGAGCCACCCCAAAGCAGCGCCAGTCTGGAGACGTCACCTCAGGCCCACGTCACAGCACTTGAGCAGAAGAGGTACTGGGGCAGTCAAGAGAGGGAATGCACCTCTGTGCTGTTTGTCCATCTGTCTTTCTCTCCACATAGAGCAAGCAGGCAGAACTTCTTTCTTGATGGGAGGCAGAGGTGGTGGTGGTGGTAGGGTATATGCAGAAATGGGAGGTAGGCTCTTGGCTCTGGAGTTGTTTGGAGATGGTCATAAGCCAGGACGATGAACTTGACTTCTGAGGGCTGAGCTGGTGGATGGGCACTGGCTCAGGCAGAAACTTGGTTAGAACCCATGCTTGGCCATGTGATCTTGGCCTGGTCACCTCTCCTCTGTGCCTCATCTGTAGTGGGGATAATAATCCTACCTCATGGGCTTCGTGAGGGTTCAAGGTGAGAAGGCCCAGAGAGGTAGGTGCTCACTGCCTCCTTACCCATTTATCCAACAGAATGGGCAGACTGAACGCCAGTCACTAGGCTAAGCTGTGGGCACAAAGGAAGACACTCTGCCTATCTCATGAAGAGAGGGACAGGGACTGTTTCTGTTGGGGCCTTTTCAGCCATAGAAAGAAACTTGGTCTTTATCCTAAGAGTAATAGGAAGCCAGTGAAGATTTCAAGTTCAGAAGTGACATGGTCAGATTTGGGTTTTAAACAGATAGCTTTGGCTGTTGTGAGAAGGATGGGTTAGAGGGAATAATGCTTCCAGCATTCTCCCTTATAAAAACTACCAAGAGGCTGTATGGGTTACTCCAAGCATCCTTTAAAATACATTCCTGAACTCCCACAGAAGTAAGAGAAATTCTCTCAAGCCAAGAGTAGAAAGGAAGCTGAAATCAAGCCGATAAATGAGATGAAGATATTGACAAATTCCAGAAATCCAGAACCTTGAGTTTTAACGACCACTCAAGGGATGATAAGTAAGGACTTAGGCCTACCCAGTGACTATGTGAGGAGTTGAAACCTAGTCCCCCTACCACCACCACCACCATCTGGGACCTTCAAAGGGCTACCCCCTCAGCAAATAGAGTCGCTGGCTGGAAAGAAATAGCCACCCTTCCCAAAAAGGGGGATGACAGGTCTGGTGGAGAAAATTATAAATACGAATCTGCCCTCACACAAATTGTGGGTTTGAGGACATAACTCCTTTTGTGGTCCTGGAAGTACCAACCCAAAAAAGTAACTTAAGTATCATCAGATGGTAGCACCCCAGGGAATTTGGCCAAAGTATGTGAAAATCCTCTCTGGAGGAATAGATCCTTTTCCTAAGATCCCTTTGGGATCAGCCAAATAGGAGCTCCTGGTAAAATTACAGAACACACAAGGAAACAAGTCACTGTGAGCAATAGACACCCAAATCAAGAAACAACAGAATTTGTTTCCCTGAGCATCTAAGATGCTGGAATTATGAGATCTAGAAAAGAACTATTTTATAAACATGTAAAGAAATCAAAGATGGACTTGAAACAATAAGCAGGGAACTAAATACTGCCCCAAACGACCAAATGTATCTGAAGAGGAAGCAAGTGGAATTTTTGGAAATGTGAAAGATAATCATTGAAATTAAAAACTCAGGAAAAGTAGCGGATCAGACACACCTCAAGAGAATTAGTGAAATGGAAGTTCTTAAAAAATTGCTCAGAATTTCACAGAGTCAAAGAGATGGCAAAGAAGAGCGTTAAGAGACTTGAAATACTGAGCAAATGGTCCAACAGTGAAGAAGAGAGAAGGGGTAGGAGGGCTGAGAGTGGAAAGGCTGGTCTTCCATCAGACCTGGGTGGAGGTCGGCGCACTGGAGCAAACCGGGCTCAGAAGCGGGTGGGTTAAGTGATGTTTGGGAGGCAGAACTGACAAAGCTCAGGGAGGGGGTAGCAGAGCAGCCCGGGAAAGGGATGTATCAGGGCTGACTATCAGATTTCTGGCTTGCGAAACTGGGTAGAGGAGTGTCATTTATTAAGATGGCAAAAATACTGGGGGAGAACAGCTTTGGGAAAGTGAACAAGAGTTCAGTTTTGGACAAGACTCGTGTTTTGATTTGCCGGGATGATCTGCTTCTGCATCTGCATGGAAGAAGAGACATTAAAGCTGGGCCCCAAGGTGTGTGTAGACATTTACCTGGTGGAAAGGGACTCTCTCTCAACTAGCTTTTGGGGGAAAGGATCTCCCTTCAGTCAGGTCATCAAGGCATCTTTTGGAACCTTCTCTCAAAAGAAGCACCTTGAGAAAAGACATCCTCAAGACCATCCTCAAAAGAGGATTTTTGGGATATCCTACTTTAATTTCTCATTTTTCGGATGGGGAAGCTGAGACCCAGAAAGGCCAAGGATTTGTTTTCCTAATCTGAGACTCCTTGTTCTTTTTTTTTTTTTCATTCACTTAACAGATACTTATCAAAATCCCACTTTGTACCAGATACTAGATGCTAGGGATACAGCAGTGAACAAAACAAGGATCCCTGCCCTTGGGAAGCTTACTTTTAGTGGAGGAAGACAGATAATAAGCACAACATAAGTAAAAATAAATACATACATACATATATACATACATACAAATAAAAGAGTGTGTTTGTGTGTATATGAGTGATAAAAGCTATAGAGAAGTGTAAGGACTAGAAGATGGTAGGGTCCACTGAAATGCCATTGGGAAAGTGATCCTTGAGGATAAAGGGCCCTGGACAGGCCGTACAGTCTGTTGTACACTACAGCCCATTGTGACAGTGTTTCTGGGGTTCTAGAGTGCAGGCCCAAGGTGGGCAGGAGAAGTCCTGAAGAAGAAGGAGGAGAAAAAGGACTGAAGCTGGATTTAGTGGGTGGGCTGTGCCCCCCTGTGGGAGCAGAAAATCCCGATGGGTCAGAAGGGCCATAAAGACTCCCTTTACTCTTGTGAGGGGTAAGATAAATTTGTTCCTCAGGCTTCCTTGCCCTCCATCCTCTGCTCCCCCCAACCCCCTCAACCAGATCTCAGATGACGCCCTCATTCTGCTGTCCTCCCACCTTTGGGAACACTTAGAAGTGGGTCCAAATTGTCTTTGTGTCCCAGTACAGAGTGGGCAGCCTGGAAGGCACCCAAGGCCCACAGGGAGGTCGCATGGGCCCTGTGGGGCTCGGTTCCAGCCTGGAGGGGGTTTGAGGTCTTCTGGTCACTTGCTCTCTCTCCCAGCAGGACTTCTGTGAGCAGCCTCCATGAGGCCCTGGACCAGTGCATGATCGCCCTGGACCTCTTCCTTACCAACCAGTTCTCAGAAGCACTCAGCTACCTCAAGCCCAGGTGAGGCTTATACCTAGGTTGTGGGTGGGCGGTCTGGGGTGTGGGTGTATGTGTGTGTGGGTGTTTGTATCTGTGCATGTGCATGAGCATACTCTAGAGCCCACATGTAGTGGAGGGAGGGGGGTGGGGTGGTGTATGGTCATGGAGGACCAGAGGTCTTATATAAGAGGAACCCCATGTAACTGACTGCCTTCAGCCTTCTGGGTCACTATGACCTTCCAAGAGACCCATAAAAGTAGGGGCTCAGCCTCCCCATTCTATAACCCTGAGCAGCCAGGCCTTCCCCAAGGTCATTGTGACTTCCTTCCTTTTAGGTTCTTGTGGCCTCTTCCACTTTGGTTTCTTGTTCCCACTGAATCCACTCGGGGTTTCTCCCCTGTCAGCTCTAACAATAGCTGCTTTTCCTCATTTTTCCCCAGAGCACTAAAGATTTGAGTTGCCTTTACTCAAGCCCTTCAGGGTAATAATGTTGGTTAATCATTTATCCATTTCTTCCAGTGTTTACTGCCTTCTTTCTAAACAATATGGTTATACTACTCTTCCTTTATCACTTTTTTCAGTTTTTTTTTTTTTAAGATTTTATTTATTTGTCAGAGAGAGAGTGAGTGCACGTGAGTGCACAAGCAGGGGGAGCAACAGGCAGAGGGAGAAGCAGGCTCCCCCACAGGACTCGATCCCAGGACCCTGGGATCATGACCTGAGCCACCCAGGCACTCCTCCCTCCCAGTATTTTTCAAAGACTCCCCAGCTCCACTTCCCTTCTGGTCGTTACCTGTCCCTATGCAGGTTCCCCCCTGCCACTTCCCCTCACACCTTCCTCACCCTCTCCCCACAGCCCTCTTGTATTGAAGGGCTGCCTTACCCTCCCTCATCTCAAGAGGACACTCTACCAGAAGTTCCATAACTCAGGCCAGACAATTCAGGCCCCAAAGAGGAAATGCTTGCTCTGAATGAAAAGAGGCACTAGGGAGAGACCAGTCTTTCCATGAGGCTACCTTTTAATGTCATACTTAAGGCAGTGAAGCTGCCCCTCATCTAAGCCCCTGCTCCATTCCAGAAAAGAAATTTTCCTTTCTTTTTCAGTTTAAGAGAGTTCTCTTCAAACAGTAGATGTTAACACATTCCCCACCCACATCCCCATTTTGACAAGCAAAAAATGTTTCAATAAATTGCCAGATACTGGGGGTTGGGGTGGGGGGAGGAAAAATATCTCCTCATCTTTATTAAGAACCACTGGTCTAGGAGAAAATAATTCTTGCTAAAAAAAAAAAAAAAAAGGCTTCCCCTCCCCATTTATAGCCACTGAAGCTTCAAAAGATGTTGGGGTCCAGTTTCATTCATTATTCTGCATTGTGCATGCAGTGTCTCATTTAATTGTTCCCCATACTTTGTCCTCAGGAAGTAATGGGCTCATCAAGTTCCACCCCTCATCACCCCAAATGCCTGGGCATTTGTTTTCTGTGTTTTGTCACTTCTTTGAGTAGCTTCCAGTTCATTTTACTTTGCTATGGGTAGAGGAGGGAAGGACTAGAGGCCACTAGGGTTAGCTGACCTCCTCATGGCCAAGGAATCCCAGGTCCCAACATCCTGCTCTTCTGCTGGTTCCCCAATTTGACAGCTGGCCTGGGCCTAGAAGGTGGGACCCCAGTGGACATCATCTCCTGGAGCTGGATTTCCCTCAGAGGTGAGGGGGTTCTTACTCTCAGGGGTCAGGATTCTATATGCCAACAAGAACTTATGGACTGTAAACTAAACTTGGAGTGTCTGAGGTTTGGGAATACCACATTGCACTTCACAGATACTGCATTTGTTACAAATGGAAGGTTTGTGGCAACTCTGCATCAAGCAAGTCTTGGCACCATTTTTCCAACAGCATTTACTCACTTTGTGTCTGTGTCACATTCTGGTAATATCTTGCAATATTTCAAACTTTCCCATTATTATTATATTTATTATGGTGATCTGTGATCACTGACCTTTGGTGTGACTATCGTAATTGTTTTGGGCCACCACCATATAAGACAATGAACTTAATCGATAAATGTTGTGTGCGTTCTGACTGGTCCACTGACCAGCCGTCCCCCCCCCCTTCTCCTTGGGCCTCCCTATTCCCTGAGAGACAACAATATTGAAATTAGGCCAATTAATAACCCTACTGTGGCCCCTGAGCGTTGTGGTGAGAAGAAGAACTGCTCATCTCTCCCTTTAAATCAAAAGCTAGAGACGACCAAGCTTAGTGAGGAAGGATGTTGAAAGCCAAGACAGACTGAAAGCGAGGCCTCTTGCACCAAACAGCCAAGTTGTAAAAGCGAAGGACGAGTTCCTGCAGGAAACTGAGAGCGCTGCTCCAGGGGACACACGGATGATAAGAAAGTAGAACAGCCTTAGTGCCGATGTGGAGAGTGTGTGAGCCGTCTGGATAGAAGAGCAAACCAGCCACCACATTCCCTTAAGGCAAGCCTGACCCCAAGCAAGGCCCGAGCCCTCCTCCATTCTGTGAAGGCTGAGGGAGGTGAGGAAGCTGCAGAAGGAAAGTTGGAAGCAGCAGAGGTGGGTTCGTGAGGTTTAGGGAAAGAAGCCGCCTCCATAACGTAGAAGTGCAGGGTGAAGCAGCCAGCGCCTGTGTAGACGCCTCGGGAGGTGATCTGGAAGTTCCGGCTCGGATCATTCGTGAAGGTGGATGCACTGAACAACAGATGTTCAGTGTAGACGGAGCAGCCTTCTGTCGGGGAAGATGCCCTGTGAGACGTCCACAGCTGCAGAGAAGTCAGCGCCTGGCCTCAAAGCCTCAAAGGCCGGGCTGACTCATGTTAGGAGCTAATGCAGCTGTTGACTTCAAGGTGAAGCCTGTGCTGCTTTAGCATCCTGAAAATTCTGGGGCTCTTAAGAATTAAGCTAAATCTATTCTTCCTGTGCTCTTTAAGTTGAACAACAAAGCATGTCGGTTTATAACGTGGTTTACTGAATTTTTTTTTAAGGTTTTGTTTATTTGTCAGAGAGAGCACAAGCAGGGAGAGCAGAAGGCAGAGGGAGAAGCAGGCTCCCCACTGAGCAAGGAACCCAATGTGGGACTCGATCCCAGGACCCCAGGATCATGACCTGAGCCGAAGGCAGCAGCTTAACCGACTGAGCCATCCATGAGCCCCTGGAGTCAATCTTCTCACATGCTGTTGCTGCTTTATCAACTAAGTTTATGTAATATTGCTAATCCTTTGTTGTCATTTCAACATCTTCACCAGGAGTGGATTCCATCTCAAGAAACCACCTTCTTTGGGGCGCTGGGTGGCTCAGTGGGTTAAGTGTCTGCCTTTGGCTCAGGTCATGATCTCCAGGGTCCTGGGATCGAATCCTGCATCGGGCTCCCTGCTCAGCCGGAAGTCTGCTTTTCCCTCTCCCTCTGCCTGCTGCTCTCCCTGCTTGTGCACTCGCTCTCTCGCTCGCTCGCTCTCATGCTCTCCCTCTCGTGTGCTCTCTCTCTCTAATAAATAAATGAAATCTTTAAAAAAAGAAAAAGAACCACCTTCTTTTCTCATCCATTAGATGCAACTCCTCACCCTCTCAAGTTTTATCCTGAGAGGACAGCCATGCAGTCATGGCTCCACTTCCAGTTCTCTTGCTCCTTCCACCCCATCTGCAAGTCCTTCCTCTCCTGAAGTCTTGAATCCCTCCAAGTCATCCATGAGGGCTGGAATCAGTTTCTTCCGAACTCCTGCTCATGTTGATACTTTGACCTCTTCCCATGAATCACAAAGTTCTTACTGGCATCTAGTTTGGTGAATACTTTCTAGGGTTTTTCAATTTACTTTCCATCAGAGGAATCACTCTCTGTGGCAGCTATGGCCTTATGAATTAGATTTCTTAAGTGATATGACTTCAAAGTCGAAATTACTTGTTAAATCATGGGGCACAGAATGAACACGGTGTTGGTGGGCATGAAAACAACATTCACATCATTGCCCATCTCCAGGAGAGCTCGTGGGTGACCAGGGGCACTGTCAGTGACCAGTAGTAATTGAAAGGAATCTTTTTTTCTGATCAGTGGGTCTCAACAGTGGGCTTAAAAAATTCAGTAAACCGGGATGCCTGTGTGGCTCAGTCAGTTAAGCCACTACCTTCAGCTCAGGTCATGATCCCGGGGTCCTGGGATTGAGTCCTGCGTTGGGCTCCTTGCTCAGCGGGGAGCCTGCTTCTCCCTCTGCCTTCTGCTCTCCTTGCTTGTGCTCTCTCTCTCTCTCTTTCTCGGACAAATCAATAAATAATCTTTGAAAAAAAAGAAAGATATTGCCACAGCTAACCCATCCTTCTACAACCACCACCCTCATCAGTCAGAAGGCAAGATCCTTCACCAGCAAAAATATTACAGCTCGCTGAAATGTCAGATGCTGGTTGGCGTTTTATAGCAATAAAGTATTTTTTGATTAAGGTATGTATTTTTTTAGACATCATGCTGTTACACACTCTCGACATAATGCTATTGCAGGCTTAATTAAACTTCTGTGTGCACAGGGAAACCAAAAATTCATTTCACTTGCTTCACTGCAGTATTGGCTTTATTGCAGTGGTCTGGAACGAAACCTGCAGAATCCCGCATGTATGCCTCTACCACAAATCTCAGTCCAGGGCACAGCTGAGGGGCTTCCAGGGGTGGGCTGGGGAGGAGCCAGGATTACCAGCCGCAGGTGCATGTTTTGACATTGGGCCTCAAACGAGAAATTCCACTTTGCCCGCCAGCTCCCCAGGTGGGGCTGTCCCTCCTGGACCCAGCACCAGACTGAGGTAGCCTCACCGGGGTGGGGAGAAGATGGGAAGAGGCTTGAGAACTGGGGAGGCCTGGAGTAGGAAGGGATTATCTGGGGGGTGGAGTGGTTCTGAGTAAGGCCAGGGAAGGAGAGTTTCTGTCCAGGGCAGTGACCCTTGACCCCAGCAGATACAGAAAAACTCACATTTATTGAGCATCAGTGATGTGGCCCTCATTATATCCATTTTACAGAGGAGAAACTTGAGGCTCAGAGAGGTTTAAGATTCACCAGGATCACACAGCTGGTCACTGGCAAAGCCAAGATTCAACCTGTATTTCGGGGACTCTGTAGCCTGAGTTCTGTCCCCACTTCAGGCTGTGGCCGCCTCTCCACAAGCCACTGCCTTCAGGTTAGCATTTCTAGCAAAGATCTGGGAGGTATCCTGACAGCTGCCAGGACTGGTAAGGAGTGGACCAGCCTTTGGTTTCCTTTAAAAACCTTTGACTCCCCAGGATAATATCATCTGGGAGTGGTTCGGTCACCCAGAAGTTAAAAAATACTTAATTTACAGAGGGTTTTTAATTTTACAGAGCTTTATGAATGAGAAAGACATGAAAATAGATAAAGTCACATGATTTTACAATAGAACAGTTTATAAACCTTAGTCATCTCTTTTCCCTGAAGTTCCCAGCACAGGCCCTGCACTGAGGAGTTTTATAAATAATTAACGAGGGTAGTGTAGTGAAGGGAGAGAAAATTGCTGTGGCACCTACTGTGCCAACAAGCAGGAGTAATCCCCAGTCAGTCCCATAGGAACCTGGGCAGGCCAGTGTTCTTGCCCCATTTTCCAGAAGTATAAATCAAGACCCAGACATATTGTGACTTTCCCAAGTGCAGACAGGGGCCTGCATTTTTCTTGTCCCTCCTTGCCTGGTTCTCTTTCCATTTGTTAGACTAAATGCCACTCCCTGCCTCCCATCTTCTACCATATACTTTTCGGTTGAGAGGTCTGGGCTCTGGAGAAGCAGGATGGCAGGAGCAAAAGGCTTCCCAAGGCTGATTCACTAGGCCCTGTCGCACTGGTGCTGAGGACAGAGATGCCTTCCGTACAAGCTCTGTCCTTGAGGCACCCGCCGTTCAGTCTGAGAGGAGAGCTGAGCCTCTGCTGATATAAACTCAGTATGACCTATGCCTCATTATAGATACGTGCTCCCTGAGGAGGGAGACCCAATGCCCAGGGGCCCTGGAGGCATTTGAGGGCCTTGACAGATGAGTCGGGGTGTGGGGGCGAGGAAAGAGCATTTCAGGTTGCAGGAACAGCATGCACATGAGGCCAAGAGGAGGGAAAGGGTAGGAATTTCTTGAGAGCACGTGTGTCTCAGTGTGGCAAGGGAAACAGTCTGGAATGTTGACCAGGCTTTAGGGCAGAAGTGACTAGAGGGATGGGTTGGAAAGGTGGGCAGGATCTGTGCTGTATGGAGCCTTAGGCCAGAGCATTACCCCATGGGACTTGAAAGCCATGGGATGAGTTAGGCAGTCAGTGGTGTGGTCAGATGATGGGATAGGGAGAGGCAGGAGGGGGTGCGGCCTGTGGGGCCCAGGGAACAAGGAACGAGGGCAGGGCAGGAAAGGAGAGCTTGAGGAGAGAAGGGATTTGGGCTGTGCTCTGGGAGGTGGGGCAGAAGGCGAGAGGCAGGCCCTGGGCGGTGAGGGGGGGGGTAGGGGCACGCCCTCAGGCCAACCTGCTGCTAAAGCCCTTCTTGAGTCCTCACCACAGCCTTGCTGCTGCTGTCCCTGTAGAACAGATGAGAAACTAAGGCTCAGAGTTGGAAAGTCACTTGGTGCCATTCAGAAGGAGAGGAAGTGGGATCTGAGGCCTTTTGAGCAGCAGTGGAAGGGTCAGACCTTGGGAGAGTCTCTTTTGTCCTCGGATCCCTGTTTCCCCACCATACCCAGTCGGGAGGTAGTGGTGGTGACCAACACAGGCCGGCTACCTCTGGAGTTCTGGGAGTGGGTGCTTTCATGTCCCTTCTCTCTGGCAGAACCAAGGAGAGCATGTACCACTCGCTGACATATGCCACCATCCTGGAGATGCAGGCCATGATGACTTTTGACCCTCAGGACATCGTGCTGGCTGGCAACATGATGAAGGAGGCACAGACGCTATGTCAGAGGTCAGGGCTGTGGGGCGGGCAGGGATGAGGTGTTGTGAGGGCCATCCTTCTGTTACCTTGGCCTATCCCAGTGCCTCAAATGCCGCTATTAATGATGCTCCTTCTGGCTAAGAAGATGTGTCCCCAAGTGCTAGGAGCTGTCCCCTCAGTTCTGCCTCAGGATCCCTGTTGTCTGAGCCAGTCTCTAAGCAGCTTCTGGGGTCCAGGCCTGATTTCATGGAGACAAATTCTGGCTCTGTCAGGTAATAGCTCTTTGATCTTGGGCAAGTCTATCTGGATTCAACTTTCTTCATATGTAAAATAGGTATAAAGATAGGGCCTTTGTGGGGACCGAATGAGGTCACTGGTCACAGGACCTGGTGCATGATGGGTGTTCAGTACACAGAAACTGCTTGAACGAGTGAATGATTGAATGGACCCTCAGTGTTCATGTACAGGTAGTATTGTCTTTCACTGGACACACACTCATACTTGCCCTTGGCCAGCTGCTGTGTGGGCACAGGACACCCCGGGAAGCATCAGACCTGGCCCCCTGGGGGAGCTGGCTGGTCTGGGAGAAGATGCCAACAGTAACCTCCCAGCCTGATGCAGGGAAGCTCCAGGGGCTGTGGGGGTCTTGCCAGAGGAGTAGGAAAGGTTTCCTGGAAGAGGTGATGCTGGAGCTCGGTCCTAAGGGGTGATGAGGACCTGGCTGGGGCTGAGGAAGGAGGGGAGAGGCTCCAAGTAGGGGTAACAGCAGAAGAAAGTGTGTGAGAAAGCCTGGACTCAGTTCAGTGTGTGTGTGTGTGTGTGTGTGTGTGTGTGTGTGTGTGTGTGTAGTCCCCTGGGAATGGTGGATGCATCTGAGCCCACCCTGGCCCCTTGCTCACCCTCACTGAATGACTTGAAGCCCCTCTTTCCTCTTCAGGCACCGGAAGAAGTCCTCTGTAACAGACTCCTTTAGCAACCTGGTGCATCGCCCCACGATGGACCAGTTCACAGAAGGTGTGGCATCTGAGTGTCCTCTCACCCACGCTCACCCTGTTCCAGGTCCAGGGAGGGGTGGGAAGGGGCACTTAACCTCCCCGTTTCATGAAGGGGCAAGGCCCTGGCTTTGGTGCTGGGACACCCATGGGTCAGACCTGGGGCCTTTGGAGAAGTTGCTCTCAGGTGAGGAGGGGAGGTCAGGGTGGTGGTGGGGTGGGGGACTCACTTACCTGATGGCATTACCTGCTGAGGATCCAGAAGTTGGGGAAAGAAAACACTGTCACAGGGTCCACGCGCTTTTGCCCTTCAGGCCAGGATGGGCTTAGAATTTGTGTGTGCACTTAGGTTTACTGGCCTAGTGATCACAGTGATGCCCCAGAGGGGAATGTGGTTTTGGAGCCTGGCCCACTGGGATGAGACAGCTGAAAGCAGTGGAAGGGATGGTCTGGGCCGCCAGGGCCTGTGTGCCGTGACCCCTGTGGCAGACGTGGCAGTAGTAGCGGCCAGTGGTGAGCAGTGGGGGGCTCTTCCTTGCAGGAGGAGATGGCCTTCACCACCCTCAAGAGTCCTTGAAGTTTCCAGCCCAAAACAATATGACAATGCCACGCCCTCCCTCATGCCTTCCAGAGCTCCATCATGCCCATGGGCCAAATCTGTAGTGGTCCACCAGCGTTCATGCCCTTTGCAACCAGACTGCTGCCTCTCATCTTTACCTGTCTCCTAAATCTCTCCGTACTCACCCCATTTCAACCTTCTGTTCTTGGCTGTCCCCAAACATTAGAGTTTTGCTTCTCCCAGGCCTCTGCCTTGAAAGCTCTTCCTGCCTCATGCTTCCATTCCTTTTCAACTCAGAGGGCCTGACTGGAATGCCCTTTCTTCTGGAAGTCTCCCCTGTCTCCCTGGGCTGCTCTTTGCCTCCTCCGACAGCCTGTGGGCTTCCATGGATCAGGATCTTCTTCATTTAGCCATTCATCCCAGCACTTTGTCCTGCCTGACCCCACAGGGGGCTGGCGCACAGCACCTGCAGTGGTGCTTGGAGAACAAGAGAAGGAAGCTAAGGGCCTTGCACTGACACCCTGGGTGGTGGGCTGGGGAACCAGCTGGAAGGTGGGGGGAGTGTGAGCTAATTCTGGACAGTGGTAAAAGCTCTGGAGGAGCCGGACTCCCCCCACCCCCCCGGTGGAGGGGGAGGGCCTGACTCAGGCTCCTTTTGCCTTCTGGGAAGTAGGGTGGGGAGGATTTAGCCCATGCTGCCTGCCCACAGTCCCAGAGGCCTCAGGGCTTTGGTTTTCTCCTTGCAGAGGAAATCCATGCTGAGGTCTGCTATGCAGAGTGCCTGCTGCAGAGAGCAGCTCTGACCTTCCTGCAGGTAGGAACCTTCTCCTTGTACAAACGGCCTGGGGATTTCAGATCAGTCACCATCTCCAAGCCGGAAGTGGCTATAGCAGCCACAGCCAGCCTCCTTGTGGTTTAGGAGAGGACCGAGGCTTGGTCACCTCAGCCCTGCCAGCCCTGGCCAGGCTCATGGGCAGCGGTGATGGGCTTTACCCCTCCACACTGGGCACACGTGTTCCCACTCACTACTAGGTTGTGCTCCCACCTCAGGACTGCTGTTTTCTTCCTAAGGGCCCTGTGGGGTGACAGGCATTCCCACAAAGCCTGCTTTACAGTTGACTCATTCAACAAGTAAGTTTGAATGGATCAAACTTGATTCTACGATATACCAGGCTTTGTGTGTCCATTTTACTATGTGGTTTTATATACCTTTCACCGGATGCATGGTGGTGGTTACGTAAATGTACTTATATTAAGAAATCTTCACCTCACCGGCCTGCGAAGGGGAGGTATAGAGGGGAGGAGCCACTTTCACAGGGTCACCTGATTAGAAACAGCCAGAGCTGGGATTTGAATGCAGGGCTGGACTCAGAGCCTGTGGTCCTCACCACACAGTGGTGATCTCACCAGAAAACCTGGGTTAGAACATGTAATCATCATGTGAATGTGGGTATTGGGGTAGAGAGGCATATATGGATTTTATTATTAGGATACTATTTATTTTTGTTAGCTTTTGTTCTTTTTGTACCTCAGGTAATTAGAATTAGATTAATCCTAAATTCACCTTAGGATTACTGTTAATAATTGCATTGTGAGTGGCCTTCTATTTATTTGTGTATTTTATTACACATAATAAATAAATGCCCATGGTTTCCCCCACCCAACCAGAGGACAGAACACAGCTAGCGAGTCCCCTGGCCCCCTGGGCTCCTCCCCACACTGTCCCCTGCCTCCCTTCATGGGGAAACCACTGCCTAGAGTTTTGTTGATCATCCCCCACCTTATTTTTTTAAAAATAGTTTTCTCAGCTTTCTATTCATGTCTTAGCAGCATATTGTTGTGTTTTAGTTGGCTTCAAGCTTCTTAAGCCCTCAGGCTGTGTGGGACTTGCTTTCTTTACTCACTCAGCCATATGTGGTTGTATAATATTCCTTCTATGGATATAGCAGTCTGTTTATCCATCCTCCTGCTGAAGGCCATTTGGGTTGTTTGTAGTTACTGGCGGCTGTAAACACTGGTGCCGTGAATGTTCTGGAAGGTGACTTCTGCAGCCCATGTTCTTCCATTTCTCTTGGGCATACCCCCAGGAATGGAACTACATCTGGGCTGTAGGTAGTGGTGCTTTAAATTACAGATGTGGTAAGTAGCTGCTTGTTGTAAAAAAACAGAAAAATGCCCCCCCCCCCCCAAAATGAGCTTCCCTCTCGCTTTGCCATGGTTCGTCCACCTAGAGTAGGCACTGTTAACCACTGGGAGTCCCTCCTCCAGGCCCTTCTCCAGGCACTTAGCATATGTAACTGGGAGGCTGTGGGTGAGCCCTGGACATTCTGGAGGGCTTGTTTGGCAAGGAAATCCTTATCTCAGGTCCCAGGGGTTCGGGAGGCCTGACCTCAATGCCTGACCCCATCCCTCCAGGGCTCCTTTTATGGCTGGGCCCGAGGTGGGGCAGGCTGGGCCCAAAGCCCTGTATGATTCTTCTCAAGCCTGTGGCTCCCCACCCAGGCCTGGCTCTTAGCATCTCTCCCTCCTGCAGGATGAGAACATGGTGAGCTTCATCAAGGGCGGCATCAAAGTTCGAAACAGCTACCAGACCTACAAGTAAGTGGGGCTGGTCTGGGGGTGACTGGGTCCACGGCATCTGCGACTCTGTGCTCCTCTGGCCTCTTTGTGGGAGGTAGAGAGCAGGAAGGCGGTGGTGGCAGGAAGCCTAGAATGCCATGTGACCTCAGGCAGATTTCTGCACCCTCAGGACCTCAGTTTTCCAGAATATTATTCCCCTGGTTTTTTGTTATATCTGTTCATTTGGTTCCCCTGAGTCTATGCCTGACCCTGAGCACGGGAAAATCAGACAGATTCTGGATAAACTGCTTGGTGTGGTAGAGGCTCGGAGGCAGGCACAAGGACTGTGTCTTTGAGAACAGCAACAGAACCCTTACCTATCTGTTAAGACTCAATCCAAATGCCGCTTTCGCATGAAGCCTGCCTTTGACCCTCCAGTATACACTCTCACCCTCCCGAGGGCCAGATCATTTCCATGCCTTCTCAGCTGTGGGCCAGCCATGGGCCTAGTTTAATGGATAAAAGAAATAAGACTCAGTCCAAACACTTCTACTTGATATGGCACCACAGTCCTTACCTACAATTCTAAAATCAAAAAAGCTTCAAAAGCCCAATTTCTCCCCTCAATTTTGGCATTAAAACTCATTTTCCATTAAAAGTTGACTTGAATTGACTTGAGACTATGCATCATCTTATTTCCCCCATCTAACGTGACTGTTTCCCTGCAGAGATACTGTGAGTTTGATTTCAAGGTACTGCTGGGATGTAAGACCCCATGTAGTATCTGGGCACTGCATTACCTTGTGGGTCTGTGCTGGAAGTGGGCTCTGGCCCCTCCAGATTCCTCCCTAGCTGCCAGAGTGATGTTTCCAAAGCACAGATCCTGTCAAGTCACCCCATATGAATTCCCTCTTGCTCTTGAAATAAAGTCCCAGGTCATTGCTGAGTCATTCCTGGGAGCTCCTCCTGCCCTCTGAGCAATATCTTCCATCTCACTGTGCCTCAGACATTTGGGCCTTCCTCAGTTCTTCAAACATGCCAAGCTCATTCCTACTCCGGGGGCTTTTGGACATGCTGTCTCTCTGCTGGGATCACTCTTTCTGTGCCAAGCTAACCCTCCTCATCCCTAGGTTTCAGCTCAAATGTCAGCTTCTCAGGGAGACCTTCCCTGAACCCCAGACTAGATCAGGCCCCAGGAGCCTTCTTCTTCGAGGCCTTCCTCGTCCTCACAGTGACTTGATGGGGGTCTGTCCCCCAGAGCAGGAGAGTTGCGAGGGCAGGAGCTTGGTGGCTTTGCTTCTAGCTGTCCTCCAGTGCCTGGCACAGAGAGGCCACAGTCAGTGTTTGCTGACTGAAAGCCCTCAAGATGCTCATGGCCCGGGAAGGAGGCCAGCGCATCTTTAAACCCTTTGACCTGCCCAGGGTGGGCTGGGATCTGGATTCTATGTGACTGATGACCAGGACGAAGAGGGCTGGATTTCAACCAAGAGGCTCCAGGTAGACTTCTTGAAGGAGGGGGAGTTGGAGTTAGCTCAGTGGCTCCTCACTGGGACATTTGGCAATATTTGGAGACATTTTGGTTGTGACAGCCTTGGGGGAGGTTGCTTCTGGCATTTAGTGGGTGGCGGCCAGGGATACCACTAAACATCCTGGGATAATACAGACAGCCCCCTGCCCCCCCCCCCCCCCCGAACGAAGAATTTATCCAGCCTAAAATGTCAGTAGTGCCAGAGTAGAGAAACTGTTCTAGAGAGAATGCAGAGCATGTGCAAACTTTGGACAAGGCAGGTGCCCTAGGGCTGATAAGGCTGACATTCAGGGGCAAGGAGTATCTTGTTATGGAGATGGGGTTAGACATTCCTCGAATGTCAGCTCTCTGCATTGCCAGAACCCTTACCAATCTACCACCAGCGAGTTCTGGGAACAGCTGGGAGTGGGGGGCAACCTTAGTGCCAGCTGGAATGGGGACCTTGCCCCCACTATGTGGCTGAACAAGACTTTGCCTCTCTCCACAGGGAGCTGGACAGCCTTGTACAGTCCTCACAATACTGCAAGGGAGAAAACCACAGACACTTTGAAGGAGGTGTGAAGCTCGGTGTGGGAGCCTTCAACCTGGTGAGTTGGGAGTGCCCGTACACCTGCTCTCTGCTGGCTTACGGCGCTGGGTCACATGCTGGCCCAGGGACCTAGCAGTAAAGCAGACCTGTTGCCAGCCTCGGATGCTCAGAGCTAGCATGGGGTGGGAGTGGGTGCTGGCACTGGCTTCAGAAGTCCCTCCGTGCATTTCTTCCCAGGTCAAGTTGAAAGCTTGAAATGCACCAGGGTGGCGGTGTTTATAGGACCAGGAAAAGACAAACACAATAAATGAGGGCCTTTTTCTACTCTGGAGACCTGGTGGTTAAATATTGACCAGTAGCAGGGAGGGAGAAAGGCCTGGAAGCAGTGGGCAACCCACAGGAACAGAAAGCCGAGACCCCTTCCTGGGGAGAGGTTAAGGAAGTTTTCATGGAGTGGGGAATATTTGGGTTGGGTCCTGAAGGATCTGTAGGCAGGAAGGGCATTCAAGGCAGAAGGAACAGTGTGAGCTAAGCTAGGTGAGCTAAGCCTCTTCTTGGGAGGAGGAGCTGCTCATCAACAATTTAGACTCTTGTCCCCAGATGTCCAGAGACCTGTCCAGAAGTGCGTGTGTGGCAGGGTATGGCTCTCTCCCCTCTAGGCAAGGCTGTTCCAAGAGCAGGCCTTGGGGCAGGAGTCCCTGCCCCGCTCTGAGTCCCAGTTTCCTTGTATGTAAAGTGGGAACAGGGATCCTGGCCTTAGTGCTGAGAAGTTCAGACTGCAGAGTTCATCAGATGCTTTAGCAGGTTATAGCCAAGCTGTCCTGGGTTTGAGAACTGGCTCGCCTTCTGATGAGCTGTGGGGCCTTAGACCTGTCCTGTCACTTATCCCTGCCTCGGTTTTTCCATCTGTCGGACGGGGCAGTGATCTTTCTTGGCAGGACTGTTGAGGATCAGATGCAAAGCCAGAGCCCCTGGTGCAGAGTAGGGGTTCAGTGTGACATCACCAGCTGCCGTCTGATCCTTCACAGTACCCCTGGGAGGAAGGGGCTATTATGGTTTCCAGATGAGGAAACCGCGGCATAGAAAGGCTATGTAGCTGGTCCGGGGTGACCCAGTGGGCACAGTGAGATTGGGAGTTAGACAGCTTGCTCTTAGTTGTCGCACTGAGGTGCTTTTCTCTCCGGGGAAGTTGGCTTTCTGAGAAACCTCAGGCCTCCTTGTGGATGTTCTGGAGAGAGGTCCTGCTCCTTCAGGATTTCCTGCAGGACTCTGGGGGTCTCGGGAGGAGAGACAGCTTCTACCCCTCCTCATGACCACCTACCCCTGTTCCTGCAGACGCTGTCCATGCTTCCTACCAGGATCCTGCGGCTTCTGGAGTTTGTGGGATTTTCAGGAAACAAGGTAACCACCTGCCTTCTGGGACTCTTGACTGCCTCAGCTGGACAGGGTGGGGCTGCAGGGCCTCAGGCCCTGTGTGCCGGTCCTAGCACAGCCCCCCTCAGTGTGTGGCCCTGGACAAGGTCCAGGCCTCTCTGAGCCTCAGTCTGCCCTCCAATCAAATGGGGCCAGTGATCCCTGCCTAGTCCCACACAGGGTAAAGAGGCTGTAGGGTAAGGATGGTGTGAAGGGCAGCTTCGTGCAGTGGCCTGGAATCATGTTCTCTGAGTCTTCCAGGTGTCAGCAACCTGGTTCTCCTTCCTTTGAAAGACCTTGAGAAAATTATTTCCCTTGGAACCATTTTTTTTTTGTCTGGGAGTCACCTAAGAGAAGCACTACTGTGCATTAGGCCTTGAGGACAGAAACCAGAGGACTGAAGTGCCCAGAGACTTTCCTAAAGGCAGGAATCTGAGTACTAGTTAGCAAATCAGGGAAACTCCCTGGTCGAGGAGGCCCATTGTGGTAGAAGAAACAGTGGCCTGAGAGTCAGGAGTCCTGGATCAGTCCAGCCTCATCTCCTCCTCTGTGCCTTTTTTGGGTAAAATAAGGGGCTTTTTTGTTTTAGACTGATCAGTGTTTCTCAAACTTGAACTTCCTTTGGCCTCTCCTGATTTTTGCCAGGTCCGCAGACCTCTATATTATTATTTATGTATTATTTTCCTCCCAAATGGCTCATATTTTTAACTTAGGTTTATCTAAAGGAAACACTACTACATAGAAAATGCATGTTATTTGGCATGATAAGAACATAATCATAACCATAAATCCTACGAGCACCAAGCAGTCTTGTGAAAGCAGGGTGTACGATCTACCAAGGCTGTTTTCCTGTGGGAAGAGGTGTTTAGAGCAAAAGTGGTGTTGAACACACACCAGCACAGGACTGGGGCTTTCTCCTGGACACCATCAGGACAGACAGAGAACTGAGAACTGAGATCACTTGGGATCTTGGGATTCTGAGCCTCATGTCTGTCTGGAGACCTGTCCCATGGTCCATGGACTGGGTCCGGGGGAACACCGGTTAGAGGATCCAAAGGTCCCTTTTAGTTTTGTTTTCTTAAGAGGGCCCTTGAGTCCTGAGAAGGATTTCAGGATGATGACAGGAGGGAGGAGCATGAGAAAGGCCAAGATGTGTGACAGTGTGGCTTGCCTGGGTAGGAGGAGAGGGTGGCGAGGCCAAAGTGGGAGAGCCCTCAGACACCAGCTCTGGCTTCATCTTTATCCTGAAGGCAAGGAAGCTGTGGCGGGTTTGAGGCCAGGGGTGAGGTAGGTCAGATTTGTATATTAGAAAGAACGAGAATACCCTGAAGAATAGATGGGGGCGGACTGCAGACAGGGACACTAGGGGAGTCTGGCCTCTCCTCCCCAGCCAAGCTCTAGAGCCTTTTTCTCCAGAAAGCCTTCCCAGGCCGCAGTCCTCATGGTCCCATCTGTGCTCTGAGTCTATGGTTAGGATTATCTGCTTCAAGTGCAGTCTGGCTTCTCTTCCTCCCTGACCAGACCCGGGGCTGCTCAGGGCCTCATTGCTCACCCTGGGGGCCAGCAGGTAAATAAGGGCAGGAATGGGGAAGGAGCTTTTGAGGAAGTGGGGGACACCTGGACCCAAGCCTCTGCCCTGGCCTTGGCAGCAATGTCCCCTGCCCCCAGAAAGGTGGCCAGGGTACTGAGAGGGGAGCCTGGCTGAGGGCGGCCCTGCCCCCAGCCTGGGTCCGGCCTCAGCCCACCGCGCTCTCTCCCCCAGGACTACGGGCTGCTGCAGCTGGAGGAGGGCGCGTCGGGACACAGCTTCCGCGCTGTGCTCTGTGTCATGCTGCTGCTCTGCTACCACACCTTCCTCACCTTTGTGCTCGGTAAGAGTGCCCTCGTGGGGGTGGTGGGGAGACAGCCAGAACGGGGCATCTAGGGTGTGGTTGGCTCTCAGGGGAGGGGACTAGAGGTCAAGGAGCTGCAGACCCTGCTTGGGCCCCCAGGACTGGGCCAGGTGGGGCTCTGAAGCCAGAACCAACGGAGCTGCATCAGCAGTGTTGTGGCCTGGCCTGCCAACCGTTCACTTCCTCACAATGTGACCAGGTTCCAGCCTCAGTTTTCTCATCTGTGAAATGGGGTGGCCATGCCCACCTTGTAGAGGGTGTGAGGACCTTGTAGGGGGCCCTGGGGGTTGTGGGTACCACTGAGGTGGGCATGGGCTCTTGGTTATTGAGCCTGGCTGGTGTGCCGGGATGATGTCAGCACCATCTTACATAATCCTCACATCACCCTGGAGGTAGAAGAATTACCCCCATTTCATAGAGAGGGAAGAGGAGGCCCCAGGAAGCCTCTGGTAGATTGCCAGGGGGATTCCAAGAGCTGGTGATGGTGATATGTGCTGTCCCCTCGCCTCCTTCAGGTACCGGGAATGTCAACATTGAGGAAGCAGAGAAGCTCTTGAAGCCCTACCTGAAGCGATACCCTAAGGTGGGCCCCCCCGCCCGCCTGCTGGCACCAGCCCCTGCGCATGTGTGCCCTGCATGCCCACACAGATCTGTGTGCATGTCATTGCAGGGCGCCATCTTCCTGTTCTTCGCCGGGCGGATTGAAGCCATAAAAGGCAATGTTGATACAGTGAGTAAGGGAGGGGACTGAGCCAGTGCTGGTGACCCCTTGTGGTCTCCCAGACCAGTGGGAGGACTCTGGGAGGAGGGATCTAAGAGAGAACCAACAAGAGAGCAGGGGTGGGAGAAGCAATTTGGAATGGGACAGCCTGGGAAGATGAGGGAGGAGGTGGCATTTGTGGTGAGGAAGACCCGACAGGGAGATGCAGGACTGTAGCATTCCTGCACCCGGAGGTCCTTTGGTGAGCTGGGGTGGGAAGCCCCGCTTACTCAGGGCATGGTGACAGGCACTGTGAGTGGAGCAGCAGTGCCAGGGTGTGAGGTGGACACCTTGATGACCTGGCTGGGGGGTCTCCGTAGATGGGAGCCATCGAAGGGGTTCGAGAGGGGAGGGACACAGGTCTGGCTGAGTCCCCAGGAGGGACTGTACAATGTAGAGTTCTGGGGTCTCCATCTGGCCTTGGCTGTGATTCCTCAAGCAGCAAGATCGATGCCCCAGGTCCAGGTCCTTTTGTGGGAGCTATTGGAAACTTTGGAGTTTCCTGTGAGGCACAGACATTGTATAGCTTTCATATTAATACTTTCCCCTGCCTCCTGTCCTTCCATTACAGCTCCATCCCATCCTTTCATTCTGTGCAGAAAGACTAGAGTCCCAGGGAGGGGCACTAACTGGGCCCAAGCTCGTCCTATAAGACTTAGTCAATAGAACCAGGCCTGGAGCCCAGAACTCCTGTCTCCCCAGCACTGCTGCCTACCCTCCCTCCCTGAGCCTGGCATAGGGCTGGACCACTATGCGCTGGAGGAGGCTGGGCTTGCTATGGAATGGGGCAGGGCAGTGGGACCACGAGGCTGACCAGCAGGTGCCCGCAGGCCATCCAGCGGTTCGAGGAGTGCTGTGAGGCCCAGCAGCACTGGAAGCAGTTCCACCACATGTGCTACTGGGAGCTGATGTGGTGCTTCACCTACAAGGGCCAGTGGAAGATGGCCTACTTCTATGCCGACCTGCTCAGCAAGGAGAACTCCTGGTCCAAGGTGGGCTGATACCAGGTGCTGGGGACCTTGGGGGACCAGGCCAACCCTGTCTGGCCATGAGGCCCCCAGACCCAGGGCCAAACCCTTGACTGAAAGCCTGTCCCAGCTGGAATTTAAACAGAACCATAAGTTCTAAGAGGACTCAGGGTTGGTAGGAACTAAAGACCGTGAGGAGCAGATAAAGTTTAGAACTACAGTGTCAGTCAAGATTTTTTAGTCACAAGGGACAGAAGCATGGCTCAACTGTCTAGGTGAGCGCTGTCTGAGAGAACATTCTGTTATGGTAGAGGTAGCCCCCAGCTACATGGGCACATTGAGCACCTGCAGTGTGTTAGTGCAAACTGGGTGCTTTCAATTTTATTTAATTTTAATTCAAATTTAAACTTAAAAAGTCACTTGGGGTTAGTGGCCACTAAATATGGACTATGCAGGTTGAAAACACAAAAGGCTCTTTGGTTGATAGAACTGAAAATTCTAGGCACAAGTGATTTCAGGTAGGGCTGGATCCTGGAATTCAAATTATGTCAGGCTTGACATTTTTCCATCTGTGGCTGTACTCTGCCCTTTGACATCTTTGCTGTGCAGGAGGGTTTTCTCCTTGTGACAGGGTGGCTATGGACTGCCTGACCCTAACTCACATCTTCCCTTTGGTTTCAACCATAGTCCCACAGTCGAGGCTCACTGGTCTGGCATAGATCACATGTCAGTGCTTGGAAACAGGAGTGGGAAGACTCCTCATGGATCAAGAATAGGAGAGGGCTGGTTCTCCAGAAAAAAATAAGGTCCCCAGAAAAAGTGTTGGTTGGTGGGAGGAGGCATTAAAGAGATGCTATAAAGGCAAAATAAGGCACAGCAGGTGCCCACAGTGAGTGAAAACTTATGACATTATGGTAAGTGGTGAAACAAGTATTAGCCATTATCATCACAGTAACGATAGCAGAGAATGCTGAACTAAGACTCTTAGAATCACAGAGATCATCAGAGAGCATCCAATTTGGTATTGGCAAATACACAGACCATGTGTCTCAATGACCTGAAATCCTGATTTCTCATCCCTCCCCTACCTTTTCAGTACCTCTGCCAAGACAAAGCTGAAAGGGAATTCTTTGCATCTGGGGCAGGTGGGGCTGGAGGAGGGGGCAGGCTTTCACTGAGCTCTTGCTGTGTGCCCAGCACTTGCTGATTCTCTATAGCACACCCGATGAGGTAGGAGTTACCTCTACTGGGTGCACAGGGACATGGAGGCCAAGAGAAGGTATGTGACTTCCCTGGCCCACATAGCTGCTGGTGACAGACACTGGATTTGAAGACAGTTCTGTGTGACTCAAAGGCCTTTGCTTTTCCCTTGTTCCTTAAGTCCCACCTAGGAGGCCCCTCTTGCCCTGAGACCACCTTGCTGTTGAAGGTGCTCCCTCAGACCCGGTCCCTGTGGGCCTGGCATTCATTCTGCATCACCTCACACCACTAACAGGAACACAACCTCAGGGAACCTTGTTGAACTAAAGTGACCTAGAAGTGTTCCTGTGGAGGGAGGCAGGCAGCTGGGTTCACATACACAGGGAAGAAGAGGCCTGGGGTGGCTTTGCAGCTGCTGGGAGGAGCTGAGGAACGCCAGGCCTCCCAGGTGTCAGGAAGTCTGGCTGTGAGTCAGCTCCATTGCCAGCTCACTGACTTTGAGGTGGTTAGCCCCCTCTCTCTGTAGTGCTTTCCTCAGAAGTGTTTCCTGTGAAAGTGGGGGTTGTAGCACCTTGAATTCTGGGGCCTCATTCATTCCTAATTGTAGCACTTGGCCACCAGAATCTACCAACTTCCAGCTCTAGGGACTTAGGGTGTGGCCACTGCCATATGCATCATCCCCTCTGCTCAGAATCCCTCTTTGCCTGAACTGTGCCAAGTCATCCATGTGAAGCCTTTGCATTTCTCCCAGTGCTTGCTGCTTGAGATGGCAACACACATAGTGGGGACAGTGCTGTGCTGAGCATCGTAGTGGGGGGATCTAAGGGGAGCTCAGATGCAGCCCTGAGCAGCCCAGCCAGGAAGACAGAGGAGGATTTAGGGTGGCAGAGTGGAGGAAGTGGAAGGATACTCCAAGTGAGGAGAGCAGCAAGGACAGAGGCTCAGGGTGCTGTGTTCTGTGTCATTGGTGAAGGGCTTTGTAGGTGGGAGTGCAGGGGTACTGTGGAGGGTCCTTCCCCCTAAGGCGCTCTGTAAGCTTCTTGAGGACAAAGGACTGTCCGTCTACACAGAGCCTGGTAGAGTTATCCAGCAAAATAAATGTGTGAAATCATTGGGCAATCAGACAAGCCTGGGGAGACAGGACTCCCACCTAGAGAGGTGGCTGTTTTCTGTCCATGTGGCCCCATAGCATCCCTTGCAACTTGGATGTCTGTGGGTCTCAGAACTCTAGGTCACTGCATCCATCCTAACTTCTGGTGACTCAATAAGGGTAAGTTGTTTGGGGGTGGCTGAGGGATACCAGAAGGCTCTTACAGGAGGCCCATAGATGAGCCTGATGAGGAGGGACAATGACATCCCAGGCAAAAGGATGGCACAGGTGAAGGCCTGGGAGTTTAAGGACTGATGGGGGAGAAATGGCAGAAGAGGGATCAGAAAAGCAGGCACAGAGTGCCTTGAGGGGGTGTTTGGGCTTCAGCCTGACAGTGGGAGAGCGCCTCATGTTTGTGGCTTAGATCTGTGCTCTAAGAAGTCCCTCTTGCAGTTGTTGGGCACCCCATGTGCCCGGTCCTGAGGACATCCAGCAGTGAACAAAGACCCTTCCATATTTTAGTGGGAAGAGGGATAAGAAACACAAATATGTGTACAGTATAATATAATGTCAGGCTGGTATATGCAGTAAGGAAAAGTCAGGCAAGGCCTGTCCGAGAAGACACCGGAATGAAGTCTGGGAGCAAGCCATAAGGATTTCTTAATGAAGAGCGTTCCAGGCAAAGGACACTGGAGATACAAGCATTGGGGAGAGGGAATCTGAGTGCATCTCCTGTATTCGGGGAACAGCCCAGAGACCAGTGTAGCTAGAGTGATGTGAGTGAGGGGGAATAACATGAAGTTGGAGAGGAAACTGGGGGAGGAAATGGTGTAGGGGCTTACAGTCCATTACAGGGAGTCTGGATTTTATCCTAAGCATGATGGGATATCAAGATTTCAAAGAGGAATTGATAGGACCTGACTTTAAAAAGATCAGAGTGGGGTGCCTGGGTGGCTCATTTGGTCAAACATCTGACTCTTGATTTTAGCTCAGGTAACTATCTCAGGGTCATGGGATTGAGCCACAGGTCAGGCTCCACTCTCAGTATGGAGTCTGCTTGTCCTCCCTCTGCCCCTTCCCCACTCATGCTCTCTCTCTGTTAAATAAAATAATTAAATCAAAAACAGACTGGCAGTGGTGTGGAAATGGCTTGCCGGGACAGGGATAAGAGCAAGGAGATGGCTTAGGAGACCATATGGACAAGGGCAGGAGAAAGACATCCCTGATGTCCTGGAGTGAGGGCAATGTGGGGTGGATGCTGGTGCAGAGAACGAGGGCAAGGCCACTGGGATTCCAGAGCTATAGAGGAGGTAAGATCATGCTGACTTGCTGACTCAGTGCCAGGTAGAGAGGGAGAAGGTAAGGGTGACACCAGGAGGTTAAAGAGTGGGGATATTCTCCTCACCACCCCTGCTTCCTCATTTTGTGAAGGGCAGATGGAAGTGTGGAGGGCAGAGTGGAACTGGGAGTAACCCTGAGCTTCAGCCTGAGAGGGGCCCCAGGTGGAGGCTGCTTTCTGACTTTTCCTGAGAATCCACGACGTTTTGCTCTCTTTCCTTCTCCACTCCCTGTACTTTTTTGGGAGCCACTGGCAGGTACTTCTCCACAGCCCCCGGTGGCAGGAGCTGAGGTTCAAGGATTGGCCACTGGGGGGCAGGATAGAGTCAGGTTTCTCGAGTGTTGGACTCCTGGGGAACTGGAGTAGATTTCAGGGATGTACCTTTGGGGTGGCGATGGGGGTCTCTGCACAGCTGCACCTTCCCTGTCAGGGCTGGCTGTGGATCCACTGGGCAAGGCCCTGGAAGCGCACAAAACTGGGGACGCTTCCAGCTCTGTCCCAGAAGCTCTGCAGTCCCAGGAAGTAGAGGCCAGGTACAGATTCCTTTCTGGCATTGTCTTTGGGATCAATTGAGGTGAGGTATGTACAGTGCCTGACACACAGGAAGGCAGTTATACACAGGGACTCTGACTCACTCTTCTGGCCTCCCACCTGTTTATACATTCCATACTTTATGCTACCTATTTGTCACCTTCTTACCACACATCTTGGTCCCTACCTGGCTTTGCTCAGGCTGTTTGCCTTGTCTGGAAAGTTCTTTCTCAGGTCTCTGTGAATCTTCCCATTGGCTCTCAAGGGTCCAGTCTGAAGGAATTGCTTCTCAGAAGCCCTTACTGCCCTTTGTGTGTCCATCACACCCACTGTCCCGCACACCCACTTGTTGCTGGAGTCCTTCCCTCCACTGCATCAGAGAAGGGAGGGAAGTGGCTTTGATGTGGGCATCTCCTGAACTTTGCTCCCAGCTCAAGTCCCCAAGGCGCTTCAGCTTCCTCACCCTCAGTTTCTCCCCTGGGGCTTGGCAATGGAGGTATATGGAGGGGGGCTGATTACCTCTCACTCTTGCTCTGCCTTGCACAGGCCACCTACATCTACATGAAGGCCGCCTACCTCAGCATGTTTGGAAAGGAGGATTACAAGCCGTTTGGGGATGATGAAGTGGAGCTGTTTAGGTGGGTCCTAGGTCTCAGCCACATCTGCCCACAGCCACCCTGAGCTGTGGGCACCAGGGAGGGAGGTGGTGGGCTTCTTAACTCCCCTCCCCTGGCTCTGAGCTCCCTGACGCTCCCCCAGGATCACCCCATGTGCCTCCTTCCCTTGCACCACCACCACTTCCTGCTGCTGCTTGTTCCAGCCCTTTGAATCTTTTCAGAGGGCTCCATCCCCCACCCCCAAGAAAGTGGTTTTGTCAACATCCTTTCCAGTGAGCCTTCTTCTTCTGGTCAGTAGGATAGATGTGGACACTGAGGTTCAGAGAGGCCCCTTTTGCTGAGTTAACCTGCTATTCTCAAGCTCAATAGAGGACCAAAATGTGGGAATCAAACAGGATCAAATCCAGCCTCTGCTGTTTCTTAGCTATAGCACTGTGAACAATTTCAGCAGCTATAAAATGGGAATAACCACTTTTGCTTTGCAGGGTTGTTTTGTGAATCAAATAGAAACTATGTTGAAGATGGTGAGGGCCTGGAATCACTAAATTGCAGCTGTTTTTCTTGTTATCTCTGCTGCTGTTTGCCTTCCGCAAAGGGTCTAGTGCAGGGCTCAGCCTCAGCAGGCTGAGGAAGGAGCCTCAGGCCTTCTTCCAGTCAGGGGTGAGGGCTGACCCCAACTTGGAGACCTGGGAGTGGTGGTAACCTGAGCTTCCGGCTAACTGCTGTCACAATGGTAGGGTGTTTATATTTACCAAGTGCCTCCACTTCTCCATCTCATAGCTCTTCCAGAAAGTCTGGGAAGGTAAGTATCTGTGGGGGAGGAAGGATCATTTTCCCTCCATATTTTTAGGATCTTGGTTAGAAACTGGCTGAGATACTCCCCCTACTCCTAAGAATAAAAGATTAACAGGAGAAAAATAAACCAGAGTTTAATAACATGTATATCCTGTTTACATGGGAGAGACTCAGCAAAAGAGTTACTGAAATGGCCCAAGCCGTCACCTTAAACATCATCCCCAGCTAAAGATAACAGAAGATGTTGGGAGAGTGGGGAGCCAGTTCTGGGAGGTTTTCCGGCAAAGCAAAGTCAAGGAGGATAAGGTAGTCCTGCAGATAAGTCCGCTTTCTCCTTTAAGAGTTTCTAGGGCTTGTCATTATCCTCTTCCAGGTAGAAGAGAAGCCCTTATAAATGGAAAATCTCGCTTATAAATATAATTGTCTCTTATGAAAGGGCAGCTGGTACTAGGTTTTCAGAGCTTTTCCTGTATCTGCTGTTTCTTAGTCAGCCTAAAATAATCCTTGTGCCAAAGAGCCATATTTTGGGGTGACAAATTCTGCTCCCCTTCATATCACTATCTCAAATTCAGAGATGAGAAAACGGGGGCCCAGAGAGGTTCCACAGTGAATGAGCAGGGGAGGTGTTCAGGGAAGTGCACAACTTGACCCAGCTGGATGGCGCAGGCTGAGGGTCACAGCCACGCCCAGCAACTGTGGCAGAAATTGGGAGGGTGGGAATGGAGCTGGGTGGGTGAGGCCCCAGATGTGGAGGCTTGCCTAGATACACACATGTTACTCTGCCCTTGGAAACAGCTAAGGAGGCCACAACTCACGTGGCAAGTTCATTAAAGGTTTGAGCTGTGTGGTTGTGGGCAGGTCTTTCCCTTTCTCTGGGTGTTAATCTTCCCTGTGAAACTGGGGTCAGACTACTTCTGGGCCTTCTGGAAATGAGGCCTGAGAGTGGAAGCAAGACAACTTAGCAAAGCAGGCCTGGAGCGTTTGCTGACATTCTCACCTCTGCCTCCTGGTGTGGAGCCCTCTTACCTAGCCTCAGGAAGTGGTCAGGTTTGTGGGCAGGCCCTGTGATAGAAGGCCACAGCCACGGGTTGTGAGTCCAACACAGTCCCTCATATAAACTGGGGAAACTGAGGCCCAGAGAGAAGCCAAGCAGAGGCTGGGCGGACTGGAAATTTCAGTCCTCTCTAGCTTTTTCTTCCCCTCATCTCTTTCACAGAGCAGTGCCTGGCCTAAAGCTCAAGATTGCTGGGAAATCTCTACCTACAGAGAAGTTTGCTATCCGGAAGTCCAGACGCTACCTCTCTCCCAAACCGATCTCGTTGCCAATCCCTGCTCTGGTGGGTAGGAGGGTCTAGACTGTCCCACTACTTGTTTGGGATTGTGGGGATTAGCTGAAAGCCAGAGATACTGCTAAAGCCAGGGGAAGTGGTTAGGGGAGAAAAACCTTCATGCCTCAGGGCCTGGAAAGGATTTCACAGTTTCCCTGGGACTGTGAGGGAAGCATACAAATAGGCCTGACCAGACCCTGCCTGAGGCAGTACTGGAATGGTGGGGGCAGGGAGACAGGTAAGCAGGCTTCAGCTGCCTTAAGGTGAAGGAGTAGGCCCACACCCCTGTGAGCAGGCTAGGGCATCACTCAGCTGTTTGTGTTCCCACCCATCCATTTCAGTTTTATCACAGGATTGTAATGGTTTACACTGTCCCCCTCACTGGACCAAGTCTCAGGCCTGGGACCATGTTATAGTCAACTCTGTAGTAAACAATAGCTGACAATGTTACTGAGTGCTGACTGTTCCTTACACCCATTGCCTCATTTGATCCTTACAACAACCCTGAGTATCAGATGCTGGTGGTATCCCCATTTTACAGAAGGGGAAAGGCCTACTAGATAAGTAGAAAGATAAAATTTCTAATACATAGGTAAGATATAAGTAGAAAGATAAAATAACTTATCTAGGTCACACAGCTAGTGAGTTGAAGAGTTAGAATTTAAACCTAGAATGGTTCTAGAGCCCAGATTCTGAACCACTGTTATGCTAATTCCACGCATGATTTTGACAGGCATCAACTTGAGAAGTTTCCAGCTTGTTAAGAGTCTTTGTTATTCAGATACTAAGGTGGCCAGAAAAGTGGAAAGGGAACTGCTTTTTTCTGGTCCTGGCTCCACTATTCACTAACAATGTGCTTGCCGTTGAATAGGGTTCCCCTTCCCTTAATGGAAAATTAGGAATGATAATTGTCCATTTCATATAGCAGTAATGGGAACTAGCTGATTAACTGTGTTAAATATTTTATGAATCAAAATCATATTTCCCAAACTATAATAATCTATAAAATGCTATTTATACCTAAAATAGTTTCTGTGATTAAATATATTTGGGAAAGACTGGCCTAAACAAGGTTTATACACCGTGGACATTTTGGAGCCTTTATATAATAATACATATAGGTAAGTTTCCAAGAATAAGCTTGAAGATGATTTTCCCCCTAACTTATTTGGCCACAGACCTCTTTTTTTTGAAGGAACATTTGCTAACTTGGGACCATATACACCATTTGAGGAATACTGGTTCTAATCTTAAATTCCCTCCCTATAACAAAGTAACAAGAACCAAAACAATAACATCTTTTTAAAACTTTTTGTATGCAAATCATCTTCATATCTATTGCCTAGATTCATAGTTTAGGAAATGCTAATGGAATGACTATAAATGAACATTTAATTTAGTATTCTGAGATTCCTGGCAGTTGAAGCAAAGAAAGGAATCAGTTTGTGTTGCATAGTTTTCATGATGGTAACTCAAGCCCAGTGCCTTGGGGTAAGAGAAACAGGGTGACAGTCTTAAGAGCTACTGGAAATCCTGAAGTGCTTAAATAAATATAGCTCTTCCAGTATGGGAGGTCCTGTCAGACTGGCAGGGAGGAGGACTTTCTGGAGAAAGTCCTGTGGATCACAGCCTGGTCCTCAAAGTTTGGGGAAAGAGTTTGGACACAGAGAGGTTGGGAGAGAGCATGATAACCACCCAAGGAGGCCATGAGCAGAGGAGTAGTTAAAAACTATGTACAGCTCCCTGCCATGACCCCTTCGAGCCCATAACTTCATAGGCTGGGCTGAAATTTGTCATAAAAGATTAGAGATAGAAGGGCCTTTAGTGATCCTCTGATCTGAGCTGCCCATTTTACACCTGGGGAAACTGAGGCCCCACTGGGGAGGAAACCTTTGGACTGACTTGCTCCCCTGCCTTCAGGAAATGATGTACATTTGGAATGGCTACGCTGTGATTGGGAAGCAGCCGGAACTCACAGACGGGATACTTGGGATTATCACCAAGGCTGAAGAGATGCTGGAAAAGGGTCCAGGTGACTAATCCCGGCCCTTGAACCTGCCAGGCTGAGTCAGATCATAGGTCTTTATAGTTAAAGGTTCCTGCTACTAAAAATGTCCTTCCTTCCTTCTCTACCACAGTTAACAGTCCTTTGGCTTTCTAAGACTGAGCTTCAGTGGCAGCTTCTCCAAGCTGTCCCTTGGCCCCAGTTAGGGTCAAAGTCTCCTCTGGGCTCTCCCTTCAAGTCAATCCTGATCTCACTACATTGTCACTGTCTCGGTATCTGTCCTTCCCAGATGTGAGCTTCCTGAAGACAGTGACCATGTGTGTGTTACCTCTCTATCCCCAGGGTCCAGCAGAGTAGGGACTCCATGACTAACTCTTACAGAAATAAGCCTGTCTTCTTCCCTTATTCTTAGAGAATGAGTACTCAGTGGATGATGAGTGCTTGGTGAAGCTGCTGAAAGGCCTCTGTCTGAAATACCTGGGCCGTGTCCAGGAAGCTGAGGAGAATTTCAGGAGCATCTCTTCCAAGTAAGTGCCTCTGCAGCTGCTCCCACTCCAGGTGGCCTTCTGCTGGGCCCATGTCTCCTGGGCAGAATTGGCAGGTTCTCTCCTTTCTCACATGCGCTCCATAGCTTGACCCTAGCCTGCCCACATTCACTACACTTGTACCAGTGTCTGTTCTGTGCCAGGATCCTTGCTGGGCACAGATCATTCAGACCTCATTCCCTGGGGCCATCAGATTGCCAACTACAGGAGTCCATCCACGCTGAAGTTTCAGGTGAATAGTGCCTCCTCGAGTTTGTAATTCAGTTCCACCCTTGAGGAGCACAACTGTTACAGACAGCTATAGGCAACACAATCTGGTATGATCAGGGCTGTGTTACAGGAAAAGTAGGGAGGACAGCAGGTGCTCTTGAGGAGGGACTTGAACATAATGCAAGATACCAAGAAAGGCTTTCCAGGGATGCCATTTTAACTGGGAAGTTTATCAGGCAGAGAAAGGAAAGCAGGAGTTTTAAGTGGAGTAGGTTGAACATGTACAAATGCCCAGACACAGGAAAAAGACCTAAGGTTGGGGTTAGAGTGATTAGGTCTTTTCCTCCCTGGATGAAGTTATAGAAGAAAAGGTTACAGATGAAATCAGGGGGGCTAGACTGAAAAGGGCCTGGATGTTTTGCTTACAAGGCTGAACTTTATCTTGTAGACAGAAAAGATCAGGAAGGATATTGAGCAGGGCAGATTTAGGTTTTAAAAGAGTATCTCTGGGGCAGCATGGAGGGTGGGTCAGAAGGGCCAGTCTAGGGACAGTCGACTTTCTAATTTAGTAAAACATTTAACCTGGACAAAGGGGGTTGGGGACAGAGGTGGGCATGGGGTAAGGACATAGGATGAACCATAAATTGTCAGGGAACTGGGGCCCTAGGTGCAGAAGACTGGAAGGCTCTCCTGTGGATCAGAAGCCTTTCTTTCTATGGCTATGTAGTGGGAGCCTTCCCCAACTAGGATTCATTATCTGGAAACCCCATCTGAAGGCATGGATTAGATCCTCCCACTCGGGGATGGCTCGGGAAGACTCTGAAGAATATCTCAAGGGCAGAGACTGTAAGCCATGTCCTTCTCTGTCCCATAGTGAAAAGAAGATTAAATATGACCACTACTTGATCCCAAACGCCCTGCTGGAGCTGGCCCTACTGTTCATGGAGCAAGGCAGAAACGAAGAGGCTGTCAAACTCTTGGAAACTGCCAAGTAAGGCGTGGTTAGCGTGGTCTGTCCTTTATGCCCCCCGCCCCACCCCCCCACCACCCGGAGCTCAGATCACCTTGGCTTGGGGGGGAAGGAGCACAGGCAGCAGAGAGGGAGCATGCATGCTGGTAAAGACATTAGGGCAGTCCAGAGGCTGGACCTGTGTCCCTGGGAACCCAATTCTCCCCTGGTATAGGGAGGCTTCTTCAATTTGCCAGTAAGGACTGGAATCCCAGAAACAGGGAGTGAATTACCCAGGGTCATACCACAAGCTAACTACTGGCCTGGTAGGAAGACCTGGGTCTCCTGCCTTCTAGCCCCATGGATTTATTTCTTAAAATCATTCCCGAAAGCTTGGTGACTCAACAGGAGTAAGAGTGGGTCCACAGGGTACAATACCAAGGTGAGGGGCTACACAGCCTTTCTGTTTCTCTCTACTGGACAAGGCCCAACTCTTTCTTTGGACAGAGTTTTAAGCATCTGAAAATCTTCCTTGGCCTGGTAGTTTCTTACAGTTCAGATCGAAGGAAAAGCACTCCTTAGAGCAGCTTTATATGCCTGATTCTCTGGTCTTTTCCAGGCAAAACTACAAGAATTACTCCATGGAGTCAAGGACACATTTTAGAATCCAGGCAGCCATACTCCAAGCCAAGTCTTCTCTAGAAAATGGCAACAGATCCATGGTCTCATCAGTGTCCTTGTAGTTTTACGCAGCACTCCCAGGCTGGAAGACAGAGACAGCTGGACAGAGCTCCTGGAAACATTTCAAAAAGATCCCCTCCCCCTGCCCTACCTTTGGGGTCCACCGGTGCTCCAGGGATGGCATGACATAGGTATCCATGCAGAAGGGAAGCTGGCATTTTCACCAGTGTGGCCAAGGGCCTTTACCAAGGACAGAGCAGGTAGAGCCCTCTGCCTGCCCTATTACACATACGGGTACTTGTTTTTCACTGTGATGTTTAAGAGAATGTATGAACAGTTTACATTTTCCTTAGAAATATATTAATGGGATCACAGTTGGCTAAAAAAACAAACACCACCACCTGTAAATCTTTGTTTTAACCCACACTGGTCTGGAGGTAAACCTATTTATGATACTTTTCAAAATTCAGCAATGTCTCCACTTCCAGGGCCAGAAGGGCCATCAGGGCTTCTGAGGGTTGGATGTAGAGGTTGCACACTGACACCCACTACCTTACTTCTTAACCTTCATTTCCACTCCCTTAGTCACTATCCAATTTAAAACAAAATTGAATGGAAATTACTTCACTAAAAAGACATGTGAGTTCTTCCATAGGAAAAAGAAAAAAGTCAATCTGCTGGTAAGGAATGGGAGTTGCTGAGGCCTCACAGAAGGGGGGCTGTGTGGCCCTTTCTGTGCCAACGTCAAGAAGTTTGTGGGGGAAGGTTCTCAGACACCAGTCCACATCCTCACTGTATGCCACACTAAAACTAGGAATAATTTACAAAACAAGATTCTTTTGTACTTCACTATGAGGTACATTTTATTTACTGACAGCATTTTTCTTAGAATGGTTATTCCTGGCCTGTTGTGTATGTTTTAGATTTTTCATTTAAGAGAAAGGAGATATTTAAGTAATAAAATATATACTTAAGAGATCATGCAACATCTATTTCAGTAAAATGTGTTGCTTGAATTCTTGGGCAAGGCAGAAAGTCTGATCAGAAGCCATATGGCCCAGGTATGTTTTATTTAGACAACATGATGCCTTAAATGTTTTTAAAGTAAGTTAACATTTAAAATGGGGAGATTTCACAAATAAATCTGGTTTCTGGACTCTTATTTAAGAAGAAAATCTAATCTGGCGACATTGGGCTCATCCCTTTAAGACAATAAGGCAACAATCAGTTGGAGCTGGGTAGCTACTCTAAACACTTACATTACCCTTCTGTCCCTAAAAGCATCTGAATTTCCAAACTCTGGGACTGTTACAGTGAAAACTCAAGTTCAGTGGCCAGACACCAAGCTTACCATTCACAGCCTAATGACAGCATACTATTTCCCTGAAGGAAAAAAATCATGTACATAGTAAATATGCATCTGTGAAATGTGACTCCTAAAATACATGAATGCAATTTCTGTAAGGAAAGAACCACAAACAACTTTTCCAATCTTCCAGCATTGCTGGATTTTTAGCAAACTTCTGAATTTGTCATGGGCTGGGTAGATTAATCTATTAACATTTTCAACTAGCTCTCTGTGAAGTCACAGGTTTTAAGTAAAGCAATATTCTCATTAGGAAAACAAAGCAGGAAACCCTCAATCAAGATCCTCTTTTGCACTTAGGGCATAAATGCTATTAAAAATTTTTCTCATTTTATTAGACTACACCTAAGAATGCTCTCTACCAACAGCAAGCCCTCTATATGCTTGCTCTCTAAAGCCTGGATTCTGGGAGACCAGCCTCTTTGTAGGTTGTTGGGCAGGACAGGGTGAGAGGAATGACTAGAACCAGGCTGCTGAATAAGGGTGGCCTTCTGTGGTTCCTTCACATATTGGAAAGCTAATACCTACTGCTGTATTAAAAAAAAACAAAAACACACAAAAAAAAACAGCACACAGGATATACCAAGCACAGCTTGCAAAATTGCAGTTAGCAAAAAATTTTTCTTTAAACATTCATTATAGGCACTTTTATTTTTTAAAAAATTTATGCCAGGATGGTTTCCTTGTCAATGTTATTACTGATTTCCTGCTGGGCTTCATTAATTAGCCGATGTCACCTTACCTCTATCTTGTCACAGCTACAGTCTGGCTGGTAAGAGCAATCAGTGGGTTTTGTCTCCTTTATCCCCCCTGAAGCTTGAGATAGTCTATTAAAAACATGTTTGTGAAATTGGGTGAAAATGTCAGGTGTCTAACATCATATCCTTGTGTGGAAGCATTGAAGGTGAAAATTATGTCTTGGGCTTCTTGTTCTATCTTCTTTTAGCCATTTCTGGCTGTTAATTCTCTTAATAGTACAGAGCTTTCCAGCACATATGCCCTGGAGAGGCAACTATCAGGTGGAGAATTCTGGCCTAGAAGTAAGGAGACCTGAATTTGTAGTCCCTGCTTTATTACTAATTTTCATAGTAACCTTGGGGAAGTTATGGACCCGCTCAAAAAATTAGTAATTTGCACTAGATTAAGGCTATTTCCTGCTGTCAGTGGTTCTGATTCTGACTCTGGTCAATTATATTTTTGGATTTTCATATCCAAAATAAGACAAGAAACAGACACCTCCCTACATTTTGCCAAAGCCTTATATACCTAAGCAACTCAACCAGAAATTATAGGCTTTCTCAATCAAAGGCCTCTATAGTAGCCTAGCACACTTGGAGAGCAAATCATCTTCATTTGGATAAAGTCTAAAACCCCATTACACAGAGGAACTCCACCATAAGGAAGTAGCAACTGTGTAACATGATCTAAACAGAACCTCAACAAAGGAAAGTCTACCTCTGCCTCTCACTGGTCACAGGCCCTTAGACTCACAGGGTGGCTGCCGGCAGTGTGCTGGTCCCTATCAGCTCTCCCATGTGTTGGCAGGATTCCCTAATCCTTATCTCTCTCTCAAGTCAGAATGGGAGTGTTTCCAAGACAGCTTTCGTCATTCACAGCAAAAAGTCATAACCTGACACCAAAGCCAGGACCCTCAAAGGCCAATGCCAACAGAAGACTTGGCTGAGGCCCAGGTGGAAGAGTTCCAGCAACTGAAGAACAGCACCAGGAGGTTTTCAGAAAGCCTCAGCCTGCTGAGTGCTTGAATCATGGAGAAAAAGAAACCCAGAGGGGCTTTTCTCTGGAGCTACTCCCAAGTTTATTTCTTCTAAGATGATGTGGACTAGACAGTCTTTTCCTTTGCTTCAAATTTAAAGCCTAACAGTGAGCCTTTCAACAACTGTTTCCTTACGTCTTTAGCACCATCAAACGAATTCACTAGTAAATGAGAGGTGCTTAGATTCTGAAAACCAAGAAAAATGGGAACTTCTCATACATACAATCTTAGATGCAGCTTTCTAAGGTTGGAAAATGACTTTTTTTTTTTTTTTTTTTGCTTTGGTTAGCATGAGCTCTTTTGAAATCTAGTGCAAAGTTCATCACGGCCCAACAGATTAAGTCCGTAAACAAGGAACCTCATTTTGGGGCTTGAAAAATCCATTTCTAAATGAGGAATGTATGAATTGCTTCTAGTATATAAAGCCTACTGTAAAGTGACAAAATATAACAGAGCCCTTCCTTTGGGAAGACAATTACTAAAGATTGCTCTGGACTTCTAAAAGCTGACAGAGTTTAATCAGCTACATCACAGCTAACACCTCACATATAAATGGACTGGGTTTTATTTTTCCTCACATCATTAGCAAATCATTCAGAACACCAGATACTACATGCTGTGGGTGGAAAAACAGCTAATATTAAGTGCTCACTATTTACCTCTTGCTAGTCTAAGCACTTTACATGTATGTGATTCTCATAACTATATGAAGTAGGGACTATTACAGATGAGAAAACTGAGACACAGGTTAAATAACTTGCCTAAGATCACAAAGATATGCAGCAGAAAGTTTTTAAGCCAGGCAGCTGAATTCTAAACCCCATGCTTTGCTGAACTACTTTTCAAACTGTAAAATTATCAGTTTAATGTTGGATCTGACTTATATTGACCTCTGGGCCACTATTAAGGACGGAAAAGGTACTGGCTAATGGCTCAAACACCAGAAATCCTTTGCTTCGAACACATGGAGCATTCTGTCTGTGTGGCATGGTTCTAGAATTGGCAGAGTGTAGCCTATTTCCATACCTCTAGAATGGACCAGTGCTGGAGGCGAATCTCAATGTCTTTGATAGCATAATCCAGTCTTCCCAATTCACACAATGTTTAAGACTTGGTTCTGGATCCTAAATGACAAAGTGAACTATTATGAGGCCTCCCTGAGAAAAGCTGGGCTCATTTTTGCAAAGCCAACAAATCTTACAAGCATTCAGAGTTCACCCATAGGACCAGACTCTTGAGGCAAACCCTCAGTTACCTTTTTCAACTTCTTTTTCTCATGGACAAGAAATCTGGAGCCTATAAACACTGATGTTATAGAAGGGGTCCAAACCATACAGGTGCCACTCCTCCTTTGATCCCAATCAGTTTTAGATGCTTAAAGTCTATACCTTATTGATAATGCTGCTTCATTCATAGGCAGAGAAAAGTAAACTTTCTATGGAGGCATCCAAAGATGACTAAATCTTCCAGTGGACAGTAGCTCTTCTCAAGGAAAAAAAAACGTGAAGGAGTGTTAGTATCTTTCCTAAAGTTGCCTTGAAAACTTTATGAAAACAGTAAATGGTTTTAGTCTGTCAGCAACATAAATCAGATGGATCCAGCTGTTGTCCTGAGCCAATGCCTGTTGCTCAGAGTGATAAAGCAAACAAGAACAATGTGGATAATTAAAACATGCAGATAAATCCAAATCCTTTTTGTACAGTTTTGCTGAAGCCCCTAACAAAAATTTTATGGATCAGGAAATGGGTTGAAGAGGGACTTGTGGATTTTCTGTTTCCAAGCTAAAGAGTAAGGAAATAGCAAAAGGTAAAATGGAAAAGCAAAGTCTGGATATTTGTATCTGGACAATCAACCTCTGAATAATCAGTGAGCACTCAGTCATGCAGTTATTTTTTTAAACAACCACTATATGATTTATAGAAGGACTGGGTAGAATTAAGTGGGCTAATCATTTTTTGTGGGATGTTTTTAGACCCACAGGCTCTCAGAAAACAAATTACAAAGTATATTTAAGTTAATATTGCCAAAATACATGTGCCTCACACAATTTATTAACATCTGTATGTCATTTTAATATAAACCTTAATGTGTTGTAATGTAACTCCTAGGAGCTTAAAAAAGAGGTTCTTTTTCTCTAGTAAAAATAATTCTTAATGTACAGAGCTAAATAAATAGCCCACTTAACGTTCCTTCAGTACCTAAAATTAACTTGCTATATCTTTCAAACCACTCAGAAAAAGTACTATTT